GGCCAACGCCGACATAGTAGCAGTCATAGCGCTGAATGTATGTACATAAATACGCCTGGGCCGGTACAACTGCAAACAAAGTTGGTTAATATCAACAGTTGAAAGCAATTGTTGCATTTATCAGCATTAAATATAAAGTCAAATGAATCAAATTTCCACTATACCTTTTGATTATATTTAGTCCAACAAACAGAGTTCGAGTTTGTTAATATTAATCATTCAATATTTAAGCAAAGCAAAAATATTCGTTCATCGTTTCGACCAATTTCCGTCTTGGTCATGGTGTGGTCAATTGACGGCAACGATGGCTTCTGAATCCAAAATCTTCATCGTGCCGTTTCATAACACAAGATTAGGCGTCAATAAATCGGTTTGTTTACGCCAGATGTGCCGATATGGTACAGCCATTGTTCATTGCCATTATGATCGGTGCGCCTGGTGAAGGAATAAGGCAAAATGAACATTAGTTCACTATATAGCGTGCCATTATCAAGTGATATCAACCAGACAGGGGCGCCAGCAGTCAGTACGTGAAGCTCGTCGTGCTTGGAATAGCAGCAACGACAACGAGGGTCTATAAAAGCGTTATGCGGAGCCGATCGTCGTAAGCAGGCGACGTTAACGCAATAACATTTACCACGACGATTATACCTTTGGCCTTGGCGAGCCGCTAACGATCGTGCCGTTACGCCATGCCAGTCTTTCAACAGGCGTTACGTGGCATTGCATTCGGCGCTCAGTTCAAGTCAATAAGCCAGCAGCAGTTAAAAGCACCGTAATAACGTTTCCGGTCATTGTTTAACCAACCGTCATGACTCGTTTTGCGACAACACGATTCCAGTCAATGACGCACGGCGGTCAATTAAAGCAACATGCCACAGCAGGTGATAGCATTTCATCACCTTCAGTAACGTGATACTATATAAAGGTATGATAATACAGAAACAGTGTGAGACAGCCGCCGTTGTTCACCAGCAGTGCAAGTGACGCACTTAAATTCGGTTATAGGCGAGATTGCAGTTTAATTACGTTCGCATTGGCTCATTCGGTTTCATTCAATATATGTCTACGTAACGCCATTGTAGTATTTAACTACGGGTGCCGTCAATCGCTGCGACTCGGGGACAAATAGGTCGAACCATCAGTAACCCGTGTCGTTATCGTCAGGTTTCGCGTAAGTAGCTGCGCGGAGGAGTAGTGCAGAGCTATGTGGTGAATCAGGCGTACTAACAAAGAGGCTGAGCGAGTTGTTGAAGAGTAGGAAGCGAGTTTGCGGTAATGCTCAAAATGAAGTTAAGATTGCAAAGAGTGTGTACTCGAGGCTTAGCTTGGTATAGTGTAAAAATTTCGGCGAAGAGGTAGGGAAGGTGTTGTGTATCGAGGGTAGTTTGCCAGTTTGCGTAAGTGCACAGGCACACCGCACACCTCTACACCAAACCAGCTAAACCTGCCTCCTTGTACAGGCAATAATACGTTAACACCACACCAAACTCGCTCAACCTGCCTCCTGCGCTGGTAACACTGTACACCTCACACCAAACTCGCTCAACCTGCCTCCTTGTACAGGTACACACCGCAACAATCTCATTACCTCGAAATCGCCCAACCCGCCTCTTTTCTCGGCGGGTACACACAGTTCACTTACACCAAACTCGCTCAACCTTGCCTCCTTGTACAGGTACCTGCTGCACACTTTACACAAAAAACTCGCTCAACCTGCCTCTCTTTTGGACAGGTACACACAGTTCCTTACACCAAACTCGCTCAACCTGCCTTCCCTTGTACAGGTACACACAGTACACCTCCTACACCAACCAGCTCAACCTGCCTCCTTGTACAGGTACACACAGTACACTTCACACTGAACTCGCCCAACCTGCCTCTTGGACAGATAATCTCGGCCTTACCTGCAAGGCTGATGGTTCGATGACATTTGGCGATGCAAGGGTCAACGAAACAGTTGACCACAAAGACGCCCGGTGACAAATACCACAAAATGGAACGTTGCATGCGCTGTTGTATGTGGAATAAGTAGATAGTGTAATGCAGACATGGATCCTCTGCTGCTGCAAATCATCTCATTTCCATCTTGGACATTGCAGGCATATACCGTCCACCCCACTGTCCACTACCGAATGAATAACAGCAACAATCTCACACACTGCTTCACATTGGTAATATACCGACCAAAGCCACACAACATACAGATATCAATACCGAATGATGTCATGCTTAATACTTATATATGTATATTTAGCTACTGATACCGATCCATTCGACTGACTTGAATCAGGGCTGAATGACAATAACTTGTATAAAAGACAGAATTCCAGTATGGCGATATGTCATGAGCTTGAGTTACAGCCAGTTCTAAACCCCAATATTTCAAGGAAACGTTAACAGCTCTGGCTGCTGCTTTGCTGCCAAGCATTATTGACAGACAGGCGGACTGTGGGTTCAAACGAGTCACAGCCACATGGCATATAACAAGGTTAGGACTGTAACCAGTGGCATGAAAGGTACAGCATGCAGAAACAGTCGTGCCTTCACTAAGAGATTAAAAGTTATAATCCTGATCAGTGAACGCATCTTGTGCACGTTAAACCAGCGATCGTAAAGTTACGTAGATCGTAACTCCACCTCTTTAACATAGACCCACGACTGTCGCAGAGATTGAGTGAAAGTGATGCCAGGCTTAGCCGCTTAGAAGCAATATTCCAGAAATACCACGACGGACAATTCAGAAATGTATTTCACACATTGTACCCATCGCCTTCAACTACTTCGCTACCCAACGCCCCCCGTCACAGAGTTGATATCGCTTAGTGAACGGGGCCCGTAATAACCCGATCCATCGCATATAATTTAAATCCACGGGTTCATTTGCCTTGCTATCAATACCAGACTTTGGTCATAAGCCAAATAAATAATACCAATGAACAGAGCTTTGATGTTATCAACTGAACGTTTGGTTCCCAGAACAACATCTAGCTGTGCCGTGAAACCAGATATTGACAATAATATTGATGCATAAAACAATGTGGTACCCGGAAAGCCACACAGTACAGAGAGCAGCGCACACAAGTAAGACCTTCATGTTAAACAACGACTGACCGGTCACCGAAGGCGTTCAAATCAACACGTTATCATTTGACCTCCACGTCAGTTACCGAGTTGTACACCATGATAAGGACTTAGATAGAATTGACAGGTGTGGGACGATATTTTTGCCGTAACCTGAAATGTAGTGCGTAGTTATTCCATCGCGACAAAGTGTTAATATTCTTCTAAATGAATCTGTTTATTTATGGCGTTCGGTCATGGAATCGCAAAAGAGATTATAAGGACACCAGATTTGGTTCATTTGACTATATTTAATCTGGTCATGCAACAAGACCTTCAACTGTTGTGTTAGTTAACTTGTTTTAGTTGTATATAATGTACTCATTGAGCCCAGAGATGGGTATCTATTTGTGTATACGACATCTTCAGAGCTGTGAGTAAACACTATGTCAGCGTTGTATATCGCTGAAGTAAGTAGGACCTATACATATTCCAGATTTTACAGGTTTAACATTATGAGCACGAGTGGCCTGAGTTCTGATTTGATGACTTCGAAATTATTGGTGTCGTAGTAACCTAGCTTCAGTTGCTCATGACCTTTTTACCGGTCATGATCATTTTGTTGGAACATTGCCGTCAATAACGTTTATCTAGCTGGAGATGAACATACAACTGGCGTTCAGACATCGGCTAAAATTAGCTCTGAGGGACAATAAAATGAGACAATATTGATGGACGTTCGCAATATCAGAAAACTATAATTATCATTTGACCGCCACGACAGTTGACCGAGTTGTACACCATGATCCGGCCTTGGTTTAGATTAAACGGAACAGATGTGTGGCATCTTTACATATCGCTTTGATGAAATGTCAAATATTTGCCAACCTTGGAAATGTAGTGAGTAGTTCTTCCGTCGTAAAGAAAGTCGTTAATATTCTGTCTTTAATCTCGTTTATTTGTGGTGTTAGGCGCCAGATAGGGGAATAGAGGGTATACGTGATCTTATCAACCTACTCAGATTTTATTTTTGGGAAGTTGCAGAGGCTGAGTGGGTTAGGATCGCGACTAGTTGTCTGACTCTCGAGAGTTTGGTCTTCGAACTCTGATGACTAATTCCAACGAACGCACCAAAAATCTGCAAGGCATCCGTTAGAACTATCTAACCACAATTCCAGCACTGTTGGAAACGTTCTCAAGCCATTCACAAGTCAGAACACCAAGACAGATATATACGTGTCAGGCACCCGGCACGGGTTCCAGACTACAGTGACCATTGGTCAGACCAGACTTTGGTGCACTGCTTATGGCTAGGGGATGTGTAGGGGATGGTTTTATGGAGAAGCATGTACAATGTGAATTGACACCTCCCCTATTTAGTTTGACACAAAGTAAGTCACCCGTCCTGGCCATGTCATGTTCAAAGACAATCATCCCCACCTTCCCTTTCCGATAGATTTTAAGTATATTTTTTAATATATCTATGTGACAAAATTGCCCCACAGTACATTACGTGTACAAAATTGATGACCCTCCCGACTCCTCTGAACGATAAGGATGACACCCCACCCGCAGTCCCTTTAAAATCATCATCAGCCCCTAGCCATAAATTATTTTACGGTCCCTAGTGACCTCTGTAATAGCAGTCAGTATGGCTCTATGCGTATGACAAATTCCATAGGTATACCACGGGTAGCCTGAAAACCTCTTCCTTGCGGGTCATCATACCGCCTAACTTTAGTTACCATTTTCCACCAGAGCTTATTTGGTTACTTAAATAACCTTTATCTAGTTATTGAGAAGAAAAACCCGAAATATGAGAGGCATGTCTAATCGGCATGTGTTATCGCCAAGACATCTGCCAGTTTACCACTGTTCACTTCAAACCAGTCATTATTAAAGTCATGAAGATTCTACTGGTGTGATAACATGCTAACTCTGTTCTATGGTTCTGTCCGGTAACATATTTCATTTATTTCTGCGAGTAAAACTGGATGCACGTCTGTCATAGTAATATTCCAACATGTCCGCATGGTTAGACACTATTGTTGGGAATTGGTTAAAATCTCATAATTGATGATTGGTTCAATACAACCGATCAATCATCAAAAGACAATTGGTTAGCGTCATGTATCAATTTTTTCCGGCAATATTTGTTCATGCACCAACAATAAAGAAGAAGATAAAAAACAGGTAGTTCTTTCGATTTCTTTTGCAAATTGCACAAAAATGCATTTGCAATTTTCACATCCTTAAATGAAGACTTCGGTGTGTAGGGAATCTATACTCATGTCAATAATGTATATCAACCTCTACATTTTTTATTGGAAGAGGGTGTGGGACGGGTGAGTGGGGTTATTATTGGGGGGTTGGGGTGGGGAGGACGAATTGAAACTATTATTAGCATGAGTATAAAGATTTGCAGAGTCTATCCAGATATTTTCAATCATGACTTAGAACGAGCTTGTAGTGCTTATGAACTGTAACAGACAATACCAACCTTGTGAAAAATATTGTTAATGCAAACAAGTGTTCCATTACTTCCCAAATTGTTTTGTGTTCGATTATGCAGAAGACCCGCGAAGGTCCGAGGTTAGAATGAATCTTCCTTGCAACCCATGCTTAATGTCGTAAGAGGCGACTAACGGGATCGATGGTCATGCTCGAGTTTAGTTTTACGCCGCACTCCAGCAATATTCCAGCTATAAGGCGACAGTCTGTAAATAATCATCGTGTCTGGAACAGACAATCCAGTGACCAACAACATGAGCATCCATCTGTGCAATCAGGGAACCGATGACATGTGTCAACCAAGCCGCGAGCCTGACCACCCGATCCCGTTAAGTCGCCTCTTACGACAAGTATGGGTTAGTGAAGGCTCATTCTAACCCCGGACCTTCACGGGTCTATGCAAAATGAGATACAATGGCTTGCATTAACCAAGTCAGCGAATGACCACCGGCTACTCTGTTTTGATTTTTGCGGAAGCTAACATTGGTTGCTGAAGGTTACTGTGATAGTACACTGAATTTCAAAAGATATGAGAATGTTCAAATTGACATGAAACATAAATCAAGGCGGTAGGGACTGATAATGGAGACTGGAATGCCACGTTCCATGAGTCTTCAATGACGTTAGTAAACAGCGCAATACGACGTCTTATTTACGCTTCGTGTGTGTTCAGTGTAAGGACTCTTACAATGTAATGTAATGGCTGTGTTCACTTAGCATGTTTTCATGAGCACAGAATCGTCTTTTGTTCACCATTGTCTCAATTTCACGTGATACAAATTTATTTTGGAACTGAGTATATATAACCGAAATCCCATGATTTCAAGGTGGAATAAGATTTTATGAATACAACCTTTTTTGCTTTACCTCTACTTATGACGATATTTCGTTCCGCTAACGATCCCTGGTTTTCACATGCACCCTATTTAGGTTTTGAAAAGTAGATTTAGAGTTAAGGACGCCCATATGTAACTTCATGATAGCGACAGTACAAGGATCAGCATGGACCAACATGGAGTGAATTGACCGAGTTTAGTGAGTCTAGTTTTTACGCCGCTTTTAGCCATATACCGTTACAATATCGCATGCAGAGACACCCGAATAGGCTTCGCTGAACAATATGGAATTTATTGCCACTTTATCAATATTCCAGTTTTTGGTGGCAAGATGGACATAGGCTTCACTGAATAATATCGTTGCCATCAGATAACATCGTCGCATATCTGATCTGTATAATAGCGATGGTATCTCCAGGATGCTTATATTTAAGGGGCTGTGGGGTAGCCTGAGTGGTTAAAACGTTGAGCTATCACGCCGAAGGCCCTACGGTTTCACATCATGGGATACAATGTGTGGAAGCTAATTTTGGTGTCCCCCACCGGGATATAGCTGGAATATTGCTAGAACGGCGTAACATCGTACTCACTCACTCAGATAGAAACGCCCTGTTACACAATGAAATATAGAGTATATCCTTACACATGGGCATGTGTTGCCATACTGCAAACGTCCTAAGATATGCTCACAAACAATAACGTGAGTATATTTTGTAAACCCCTCTGTAATTATAATGATGATTTCAGGTGCACTGGCATTTATAGATCTTCAATAACTTCGTTTTAATTTCAGCAAGCGTGAACTTTCCGCAATGGCCAACAACGGGTGGTAAGTAGGATATTTTCAGTATGAATATTAATACATATTTAGATTAATCTAATGTAAATAATCAGTATGGAAATATATTTAAAGCTTTTGAAAAAGAGACTTGAATTGAGATGTTACAGCTCAGCACTCCCTCAGCATTGTCACGGTGTGAGACAGACAGAATATAGCTTCACCTCTTAACTGATGTTAGAAGCCGAACCCCGTCCTTCTAAAGTCATCAACCAACAAGTGCAGAACACCTTCCGCAATATATTATTGTTTTTAGTTTTTCCAAATGAAATTAGTTCTCAGTTAATGTCTCGGCAGTCAAAGGAAAGATCAAACTCAAACAGATTTTGATATTATATTGTCTCAACGTGAATTTTTGTGTTGAGTGTGTCCAAATTCCTGTTTCGTCAATCAAAAACACCGCATGAATATGGTAGGACGTTCTAACCTGTCTCCATAAGTATCACAGATTTGACGCCCCAGCAGATAGTCAATCAATTCTGCACCAGTTCAATTGCCAATCATACTCTTTTGCTGCTTTGCTGCACGTGTCCAGATGAATGATGTTGGTTTGTATTGGAGCTTGAAAGACTCAACAAGGATTGTGTGAGGAGTACATGTTGATTAACGCCGAATCAGCAAGTGAGCAGCTATTCGCGGCGAGCCGACAAGGAGAATCGCCTTTTCCGAGGTGGATTCTACCCTGGCAATAATTTCAAGGTACTATGTGAAGGAGTTGAGGGTGAGATTTTTGGAGATTTCTTCTGAATGGGGTCCTTTGTTGGCAACGACAACCTTCCTCGTTACGACTGACTGACAAACAGAAATGAAAGGACTCAAGGAATCGCCCTGAAATAGTCCTCTCCTTGATAGAGCGACAAAAGTGCATTTTGGTTGCAATCCTCGAAGGAAATGAATCTAAAGTCTCCACCTGTCCCTGTGAATGCCTATCCACCACAAGTGGTTATCATTACCTAGCTAATCTTTTATTATATTTTTTTTATATAATAACTTGGAATTCATCTGCAGGAATTATATCTAACAGCTCTCACTCCCCTTTCAACAGGTTGTCCTCGCGTTCGTTCGCCTTATTCCGGCATCTGCCCTATCATGTGGACGGGATGACCTACCAGGCTGCCCAGAAGGTAAGTCGTATGCTTGGATGTGCGGTGCCTTGCCCCTAAAGGTAGGTCTGCTGTTGTCGTATGCTTGGATGTGTGTGTATGGACGTGAAGTCAATCATGAGGAAACCGATCTTTCCGCTGAAAGGTGGAACGCTGTCGACCACCTGCATGTCGCCGAGTAGTAGCTGATCGAAAGTCAATACTCGATAGTATACCCTATTATCACTCAAAGAAAGTGGTTTGCAATGGCATGTTTCTTTGACTTCAGTTTTATGTCGCCATGCACCGTCTGGATTACCACGGGGCAAAAGTGCATTTAGGTGCAATTTTCGAGTAGCTGATGTTGCACACGGATAAGCGTGTGCAATGATCCTGTCATACGCTGGATTTTCAAAACCGTGCCCAGTATTGCAGGCCTCTTTCAGTTCATCATAAAACTTAGGCCCAAAAGAGGTTACCAGATAATTACGTATTAGTTCATTTTGATCCTCGTTGTCGATTTGTTATAATATACCATGCTAATAATGGTTGTCACTCCCTTCAATTTTTTTAGTTGGAGAGGGTGGGGTGGGGGTATGATGGGGTTGGGGTGGAGGGGTGTGAAGAACCATTATTGACATGAGTATATATCAAACATGATCCATAGCATGTATGTCATTTTGTGGCTAGTATCTCTATATCTCTGTTTATAAGAGTGATGTAACTACTGAACTATTTCCCCGTTGTGGTATAACCGATGACGTCCCATTTGCTGTGTGTATGCCAACAGGAACGCTGTGCTGCGGAACCAACTGCGGAGGAAGCATGTGTGTCGTTCCGCAAAACACACGTGAGTATCGTCGTCATCTTCGAGACATATTCATTGGAATATCGTGATTCACTTCAATGTGTATATATATTGTGGTATTATAATCAGAGAATCTGGGACGAATGATTTAAGACAGGCGGACTGCCTAGGCTTAATTTATGAAATCTTTCAAATTATTTTTGTCTGTTTTTATCTATCTATTTTCCTTTCTATTCCAGCTTGATGGACTTCGGGCACTAAAACTCTTTTACTAACAGGCATCCTAATAAAAGCTTAAAGTTAGCTTGGTTTCCGATGTCATTCGTTTTAAATTGTATTGTGCTGTCCTCTCCATGGAGAGTTTCCTATTAAGCTTTGCTTTAGGCGTATAGGCTGTAGAGAGTATCCTTTATCTCAGATGATGACAAAGATATTATGGCTTTTACACAAATTAAAAGCTGAAGTTGACCAGTAAGTCATTTTGACCTTGACCTTTTCAATGTAATATCCAATCAGAATCGTTTAATCACATGTGCTGTAACATTTGTTTTGTAAAGTGCGGCACAAGCTTTAGCATGATTTCTGTTTGATTATGACCTTGACATTCTCACCCCACGGACAAGAGTTCGACTTCAATGGTGGCCATAAATCATTTGCCATATTTACCACAACCACGGAATTTCTTTTATCAAAGTTTACATCGACCAATGAATGAACTTGACATCTCAGGCAGGACTGATAAAGATTTATGCAAATATATGCATGAAACGACTTAATTACAACGTTTCTCCGTTTGAAGTTTTCTTCAAAGATTAAGTCGACCTTTGAATATAATTGACATTTGAGTAGGAGTGGCTTCACATGACATCATCACAATCTGTCTCAAGAACCATGCAAGTATATGACGACATTATTACAATCTGTCTCTGTTGGTACCACATCGGTGAGGCACTTGAGGGTAGTCATCGAGCGGTGATTTCAACTGCTGCTCTGTATCCAAACGAGGCTTCGTTTCTCACGTTACTTGAAATCTTAACTGATTGAGGTTTCACACGTTTCCAATTTCCTTGGGGTGAAGTTCTGTGGCTTCCTTTGATTACTCCCTCCCAAAGCTAGTGGCCATGTCGTGCTTATTCAATACTTTGTAAGAATGAACACTTAATGTTTATATAAGTTAGGCAGGAAAGTTTGACATTGACAATAATCACTAGTCACAAAAGACGATTGGGGGAGATCTTCCGCCAGTGTCTGGAGACTAGGGGGAGGACGCCAGCAGCCAATATGTAGACATCACACCTTTCCCCTGTGAATAAAAGTAAAATCCTTAAACCGCTGTTGCAGAAGAGGACAAGAGTCCATATCAACAAGCTTTGCATGCATTACTGTTATATTAATTGAACAGAGTGTGTGGGTATGGTGTTACGACTCCTTTAGCAATATTCGAGCAATATCACCAGAAATGGGCTTCACACATTGTACCCATGTGGGGAGTATAACCCGGGTCTTCAGCCGAACGAGCGGGCGCGTTAACCACGAGGCTACCACACGCTCCTAAATGAACAGGAAATTTCTCCTTTTGGTGTGAGTTTCAATTCGCAATATTTATCAGAACACCCGTGCAAGACACAGGAGGACGCCGTAGGTGTTTAACATTTTCAACCCTTATTGGGTAAGTCCAGGTATATGATATATTTTTGTTGTAGCAAGTCGTTCTACCGACATTGTGAGACTGATCATGTTACCTGTGAAGTACATGGATTTTTCAAGAACTATTACTGCTTCAAAACCTTTTGACATGCCGTCCTATGGGTAATTTTTCAAATTGCAGACGTTCTGTATTCCAAGGCCAGTGTTTGAGTGAGTGAATGAGTTTAGATGTACGCCGCACTCAGCAATATTCCAGCTATATTGCGGCGGGCTATAAATAATCGAATCTGGACCAGACAATCCAGTGATCAGCAGAATGAGCTTCGGGCCAGTGTTTGTTTGTTTGTTTGTTTAACGATGACATGTGTCAACCAAGTCAGCGAGCTTGACCGTCCGATCCCGTTAGTCGTCTCTTACGACAAGCATGGGGTACCGAAGACAATTTATAACCCGGATCATTAAGGATTCACAACGCCATCAATGCCGTTCTGATACATGTGACCTCCCCTGACGAATCCAAAGCCGTATTTTCCTATATTCATGGTAAATTTGATATACTGACCTTCACCTCTATGTCGCCCCTCTTTTGAATGTTAAATGTGAGGAAGTTGTCCAGAATCAGTTTTGTGGGGTCGCTGATATGGATCTTCAGAGCTGCAATGAAACTGCTTCACATCAAGTGATGAAAACACATACCCTCACAGCGTCTTACGATTTTACGTGTGCATCATAAAATCCCGAGCAAATGACATGAACCCTCAGATGTAAATCGTACCAGACGATAATTTGAAATTTCAAAAGTTCCGAAATTGTTTCTAAAGAATACTATGAGAACCCCAAAGTGGTGAGATTGTGTAGAGTGTCGGAAAACAACATATGGAATATCTGAACATGTTCGTGAAAAATTTAATTTCAAGGTTTATATTATTTTGAAAGTTTGTGGGAGAAGAGTTTCGCTCCGTGTTTTTGAGTCCATTTCGCTTATGAGTAGCCATGCTGTCTGTCTACAAGTGTCCTTACCAACGTCTTCAAGGTACTCTTGTCACCTGATGCATTTCGCAATGTAAGATATGTATGATTACAAAAACGATTTTCATTATCGACGACACTGTTTTTACCGGCCGACGCCAACCTGTCTGAAACAAAGGCAAGGCGGAATCCGTCTGGTTAGTTAGTGACGCTATGACGAAACCACAACATTAGAGAGTCTTTTTTAATGATGGGAGCAGAACGTTCATAGTCTCGTAACGCCCTTGACTAAGGGGGATGTCCTCACCCTCTCCATGAGATTCCATCCTAGACGCCGTGTTTACGGTGTCTCCAAATAGGCAGTATCTCGGCATCTTCTGTCCAACCACTCCCGCACACACAGACCCTGTGTAAAAATAAATATCACACGGATCCGCATGAAAGAAATATTCCACCATGTGTAGAAAAAATAAACATATAAAATATGGCATATTAGGAGAGGTAAAACAACAATCATTGTCTTTGGAGAAAACATCAAACATCCCACATCGCCTGCAGAATATTACTTAGCATCACGGACAGATTTGGTTGTTTGTTTCGTTTAACGGGCAATAATTGGGCTCAAAACTGAAATTTGATAAAACATATTTTGCGTACGTGACAAAGTATATAAACTCATGCCAATAATGGTTGTCACCCCCTTCAATTTTTTTGTATTGGAGAGGGTGTGTGGGGTGTGTGGGGGTTGGGGTGGGGAGGGGGGTGACAACCATTATTGGCATGAGTATATTACCCACTCCCCTACCCTTAAACACACTGTCGCTATGTCAGAGGTCAGTCTATTAGTATTTTGTCGCATAGTTTCACACACAACTTTGTTGTAGTTTCACACACAACTTTGTTGTGGGTAATTCCTTGTTGACCTCGGTAGTGAAAAAAATGTAAAACATATATAAATAGACATTATATAAATCAGAACAAACGTCACACTACGTTTCCAGTTGGTAAGTCTGGAGATAAATTCATGTGATTTTGAAACATAGAATATATCTAAAGTACATCAACGGACATAATTTACAGCCGCTTCTTCCTACCTGAATGCAAGCCAATCCTCAGATTGAGTTTCTCCCCCGGTAGGTGGCGCATCCTGAACGTGTCTATCGCCCTCAGAAGAGCCAGCGACATCAGGGCGATCTGTTCGGCGTGTTTATTTCCGTTCCTCTGTGGTAGGCCAGAAACAACCATGTACGCGTCGCCGATAGTTTCCACCTGGGAGAGGGTATGAAGACATTACGTTATCAATCTCATTAGCGTTTCACACACGATCAGTTATTCCTGCTTGCTTTACTCAGTACCATTAGAAATTGGTGTACGCAATATTATTCTCAAATGGTATCGTTTGATTCAGACCAATGGCCAACATTGGGACGAACTTGGGGATGGAACCATCGAACTATCGTTGTCGGATTCTTGTACGGCTAAGCGAGGCAACTTCATCCCTATGTTGACCACTGGGCTACATATTTCCCTTTCTTTTTTTCTGCCATTGTCTGTGACCCGACAAGCTGGTGTTTTCATTCCGTTCTAGCAAAGATTTCTACCTTTCACAATCTGGGAAATCCTAATATGTCCGTCAGGTTGTACATATTTACTCATAACTTCCGGGGTGGTGGGGTAGCCAAGTGGTTAAAGCGTTCGCTCGTCACGCCGAAGACCCGGGTTCGATTCCCCATATGGGTACAATATGTGAAGCCCATTTCTGGTTTTCCCCGCCGGAATATTGCTAAAAGCGGCGTAAAACTAAACTCTCTCACTCATAAATCCAACACTGTAGGCTAAAAAAGCGACGGGTTATTGATTCACATTAAGTATTCGTTGTCGTGAGGCAGAACATACCCATTTCGCAGCCACCCAATGTCAACACTGGATTTCAGTGATCCATACACATAATCTGCTTCAGGAATTAATCCAGACTGGCTATTCTCCAGTGTAGATGATATATAGCAGTATATTCTTGGACCCGTGAAGATCCGGTTAGAATTGAACTTCAGTAACCCATGCTTGTCGTACGAAGCGATTAACGGGATCGAGCAGTTAAGCTCGCTGACTTAGGGGACACGTGCCATCGTATCCCAATTGCGTAGATCGATGCTCATACTGTTGATCACGGATTGGTTGGTCGAGACTGGATTATTTACAGGCAGCCGCCATATAGCTCGAATATTGCTGAGTGTGGCGTAAAACTAAACTCACTCACTATATCCCCATGGTTGCACTTGATACACAGCATAAATATTACGTGTATGATACTGTTTGGTTATTGTTTATATAATCCTAATGAAGGTACCAAACGGGTACCTTGTAGACGTCGTAGGCGTCGATGACAGCGTCAAAGCAGGAGTAGAGGTCGTTGAGGAGGTCCACCACCTGAGGACAAACATGTAACCGTAAAAAAATAAATTATTGTGATTGTTTGATTACATTTTGCGTATTTTTTTCTTGCGTCTGTGTGATCGCGTAGGCGAGTATTTTGTAGTACATGAGATACGGTAATTACAAGAAGACCGTTCTACTCTTCTGAACATCACGTGATGGCGTTATCCAGTCTGTGGACGAGCATCATTGCGGGTTATGAAGTATTTTCTACATTTTTTTTCTACCTTTGAAGAGTTCAGATGTGGATAAATATACACCGGATATTTTCTAAAGATTTTAAAATTTAGAATTAAATTTCTGTGTTCATTATCCATGGCATCCTGTCAGACGTGGAGGTGAGGTGAGGTGAAATTGGGTTTTACGTCGTGCTGGAGAATATTTCGCTCATATGACGACGTGCATACGTGTGTATGTGTATGTGCGGCTGTTTGTACTAGCCCAGACTTAAGCTGGTTTTATAATGCTAGCCCACTGAGATACCATGCCGCAGTGAAGCATGAATACCCCACTCAGACACATTATACTGACTCCGAGCCGACCAGTCCTTATTGTACCCATTAATGCCGAGCGCCAGGCAGGGACCAACAAGTACCATATTTTAACGTCTTTTCGGTATGACGCGGTCGGGGATCGAACCCGCGACCTTCCGCTCTCCGGGCGGACGCTCTAATCACCACACTACGGAGGCGGTCGTCAGACGTGGATGTAGTAGTGGAGAGGAATATGGAGTCCCTGTGATGTCGTTAATCAAGAACTAACCTGCATGGGGCTTGACCTGGCGGAGATGTTGGTGAAACCGCAGATGTCACTGAAGTAGATGGTGACACATTCGAACTCCTCGGGCTCAACTCTCAGGCCTCGCTTTAACCTCTCAGCTACAGATCTGTAGCAGATTCAAATGTAGACATATTTTATAAGCATGTAATGCTATAAACGGACTTAATTTGAATAGCTAAAGAAACGGGTCTTTTTTGAGGTTTTGACACTGTGTGTCCAAACGCAGCAGAATGTTACAAATGACTCCAAGATCATTCTTCAGAACACAACCAAAACAATTTACTGAACACTCCACATCATACAATACCAACACAGCTCTAACTTATCTGAAAATGTTGCTGCACGGACAGCATGCCAGTCAAAAGAGACACAAAAGAGGCAGTGTACATTTCATTCAACCCCAAACATCTGGAGAATGACACATTAACAAGGTTGACGCTTAAACATGGGGAAACCTTTAGGACAGCTCCCGGAACAACGCATGATCACAGATCAGACCACAAGGCGTTAGGGCTGCAGCCGACTAATAGTGATCAGACTCCTGGTCTCTTACAGGCAAAATGGGAACATACTTCGAAGCACTGTATAGGTCTTTGTCTTGCTTGATTTGCTCTACCTGGGTGGATTTTACGTGTGTTTATCTACCTGGGGAGGATCTGATACAGCAACTCCTCCGACTTCTTCTTCTCTTCCCGCAACTCATGCGTCTTCTCCTCCACCAGCTTCTCCAGGTTGTTGGCGTACAGCTCCATGCGTCTCAGAAGGGAGTCCAGCAAGTTCCCGGACTCACCAAAACGCCTACAAACTCAACGTAGATGACGTACTATTTTGGTTGCCTTATTACTCTTTTAGCCATGTTTGTGGTCAAACTCTACAGAATTGAAATAAATCTCTTCATCTCTCCAGGTAGATGGTGACAGGAAAAATAAGGTCATGTTGCGTTACTAGTTATCGTCAGTATCAACAGTGACAAAATTAAAAAAAACTCCATTGTCCTATTATTCATTTTCGACTATAGTCTGTTTGCAGTGAAAACGTACAAGTGAATTCCATTTGGCTATGCTTTTCAATAATTGATGTCCTATTTTGGTTTGCAATTGCATCAGAGATGTGTTTTTTAAGTTGTGAGAAGGGGATGTACGGGAAGGCCGGTGGTGGTGAGATGTGTTTATACAAGATATGCATATACATATATAACATAACTTATAGTCTGTTTGGAATGAAAACGTACCGATGAATTTCACTTTAAACAAAAATGTAAATCGAATAAAGTTAAATTTAGATTGCGAATCCTCATAATTCTATCTTGCCAGTTGAAAATTTAAATCTTAGATTTTTATTCAACTTGGGAAAAAAGTAGTTTAACAAACGATCATAGTTTCAGATCGCTTATATTGGTTTGTCACTGGGGAAGCATGACAATTGGGGAAAAAAACGTCCACAAGGGAAGAATGGTCACACTGGTAGGGCGGTCACCAAGGAATAATTGTCACATGGGAAGAGCAGTCACATTGGAAGAATGGTCACACTGGTAGGGCGGTCACCAAAGAATAATTGTCACATGGGAAGAGCATTGTCACAAGAACATCACGGGAAGAAAAGTTCAATAAGGTGGTCACACTGGGAGGCGCGGTCACCAAAGAATAATTGTCACACTGGTAGGGCGGTCACCAAGGAATAATTGTCACATGGGAAGAGCAGTCACATTGGAAGAATGGTCACTGGGGAAGAACGATCACGGGAAGAAAGTTCACAAGGGAAGAATGGTCACACTGGGAGGGCGGTCACCAAGGAATAATTGTCACATGGGAAGAGCAGTCACAGCAGAAGTATGGTCACTCGGGAAGAATAATCATTGGGGAAGAATGGTCACAGTGGCTCGGAAAGTAAGCTCACAGCGGAATAATGGTCACTGGGGAAGACCACTTACAGGGCAAACATGTCTACATTGGAAGCATAGTAACAGGGTTAGAACGACGACAGAGGTATAATGATCACACAGGAATCTCATAACGGAATGGGTTTGACTCACGCGAGTATTTTCTTGAGGTCTTTTCGTATGGATTGGAAGCTCGGTCTGCCCTCTGGATCCTCTGCCCAGCAGCTCTGCATCAGCTCATGCAGCTCCGTCAAGCTGTTTGGTACTTCACAGCTGGGTCGCATAGGAGGGTTACCTCCCTTGATGACCTTGGCAAGTATATCTGGAATGAAGAAATGACACTACGGAATTAGACTTAGGATAGAGACAAGTAGAAATTAATTTTAGATGATTTGTTTACGTTTGTTTGTTTCTTTTACTTGGATTGTTTTTTATTTAGCGCCCTGCTCAACAATATTTCAGCTATGTAACTACGGTCTGTAAATAATCGAGTCTGAACCAGACAATCTAGTGATCAAAAGCATGAAAATCGATCTACGCAACTGGGAACCGATGACATGTGTCAACCAAATCAGCAAGCCTGACCACCTGATCCCGTTAGTCGCCTCCTACAACAAGCATGGAAGACCAATTCTAACCCGGATCGTCACGAGTCGATTCTATAACCAGTTGATATTTGGTTAGGGTCGTTGGAGCGTATGTGTCTGTGTGTGTTCGTGGGTTTGTGTGGGTGCGGCATGTTTGTTTCTGGATAAAAGGAAAAAAGAAAAGCAACCATCATTAGAATTTGCCATACGCACGTATGCACACATCAACAGACTGATCGTACGCAATCAATAAAGGTCATTACTGATATACAACCTGACACCGTTACATCCAATATCTCGTTATAGAAAGGAGATTCTCGCGTGATTATCTCCTGCAGAACGATGCCGAAACTGTACATATCCGCTTCTTTGGTTCCTTTAGAAACGTCACCCCGTAGTACTTCAGGTGCTGCCCATAAACATTCTGTTAATTGCAAGAAACTATCATTAAACCAATACTAAACCATTCTAGTGTATTTCACGAAGGCAATGCAAATGGCAAGCAAACGAAGGTAATGTTTCTCAGTACATTAGTCTGTGAAATCGATAAATCATCCATAAGACGTCAGGCACCTATCCCTATCTTTGTGAGACATTCATTGATATGATGAATCTTACATCGACTGTGATACCAGTGTGAAATACATCAGTACTGAATTACAATTTGTGTTATTTTTAGAGCAATCCAGATTATTTGTATGCCCGAATATTTCATAGCCTAAATCGGTGATTCACTCACTCACTCACACACCCACCCACACATACCCGACCATAACCTCCGCAAACACTCACTCACTCACCCATCCAAACACTCACTCACCCACACACTCACCCATCCAAACACTCACTCGCTCACTCACCCATCCAAACACTCACTCGCTCACTCACTCACCCATCCAAACACTCACTCACTCACACACTCACCCATCTAAACACTCACTCACTCACCAATCCAAACACTCACCCGCTCACTCACCCGTCCAAAGACTCACTCACTCACACACTCACTCACTCACCCTAACTCTTCCATAAAGAAAAATGCCATTGTCCGTCTGCCAGTCAGTAAGTCACCCAGTCACTCACTCACACACCCAACTACTCGCCCAAGTAGACTCTTATATCTTCCACAAAGAAGGATGCAGTTGACTATTTGCTGCCTTATATTCGATTGTGGTATATTTTCAAAACACACACCGGTTATAAGCACACAGAGAAATATTGTACAACGTATTGGTAGGAGAAATTGTGAATATGACGTCACTTCCTCCATGGTAACGGAAACTGGACGAAGAGTATTTACATGTGAAAAATAGACCCTGGAGCGACGAAGATGTCACGGTACAGGTTTGGGTTATTTTGGTTCTCAAACAAGTTCTCAGTGTTGACATGTTCTTTCGTGCTACCTTTCTAATTTTGACCCGACAAATCAGACCTTTTCTCGAACAAAAGTGTACACCCGCTCATTCACTGGACGCACCGTTAAGATATTCCTGGGATGATTTGTCAACGGTGATGTTGCTGTACAACGTCTGCAGCCCAAAGTCAGCTAGTTTGACAGTGAAACGATTGTCAATCAGACAACAGCTGCTCTTCAGACGACCGTGACGACGTAGATGGCTGTCGTGGAGGAAGCACATCCCCTGTAGAACACGAAAACTTTGTACATTATTGGGTACAAAGGGGGAATGCAGTCACTTGTAATTCTGCAAGATGCTCTAATCGTGGGTTTGAATCCTGTTGTCATATTTAGGGTTTTCGCCCTCGTTAATTCCCAACTTGAATGAAACTATCCACTGTCCCAGCTATATGGCAAAGTCTCCAAAATGCCCCAAACACTCAAAGTCGACAAAGTTTAAATGGCTTACGGACAATTCCAAGTGCGTTTTCCTAAAACCTGACGTAAAATTTCAACTTATGTCAAAATGTCGTTACATATTGTTTCAGAGACCCGCTAACTTTCAGAAACTTTGACAATTTTACAAACTTCTAGTAATAGTTAGTTATAATCATAACATGTATCCATTAAGCTTAAGAATTGCTTTCTTGAAAAATCCTATAATCAGATCCTGGTGTGGTTAGGGGAGGCGACTCAACACCTGATTAATATGAACAGCTAATAACTGTACGGAAATGTCACTGGCAGGACAAAAACTGAGACAAAATGTCAAACAACAGACACATGAAATAGAAAGCTGGCAATCAGTTTAACTCAGCTAAACAGAATAAGTGAACAGATTTATATCTAAAATTAATTTCGTCGTTCACTCACCTGCACGATGTCGATTGCAAGGGAAAACTTAAACTGCGCGTCCAGTTTAATCTGGGCGTTGCCCAGCAGATCCTGTGGAGACGTGAAGTTGGGAGATCGGTCTCGGGGGAGCAGATGTTAGTTTTAAAAAAATCATACTCACAGATTGATACTCACATCGATTGGTTGATTGATTGATTGATTGATTAATCGATCGATGGGTTGATTAACGCCACACTCAACAATATCCCAGCTATTTTGCGTTTCTAAATAATCGAGTTTAAACCAGACAATCCAGTGATCAACAGTATGAGCGTCGATCGAAGCAACTGGAATACGACATGTGTCGGCCAAGCCAGCGAGCCTGACTACCCTCTTACGACAAGAATGGGTTACAGAAGAATAATTCTATCCCACATCGTCACAGGTGAAGTATGTATAGATTTGACCTTCAGCAGATAGTCAATACATTCTGCACCAGGTCAATTGGCTGATCCTACTATGTCTGCCTTGAAACGTTTCAGAATAATGTGCTTGAGAGACTCGACAAGCCTTGAATCTCATCCGGATCCTACGTTGTAGCAAGAAGCGGGGTTATCTTTTTCAACGTTTCGCTCATATAACTTTCCTGGCACTGAACAGGGAGTGGGCTGACAAAATGTACTAAAACATTGTCATTGATCAGCAAAACGTTCTAACAATTATAAGACAGCAACTAGTGATTGACTACAGGGAACTATGGTTATAACGAACTCACAGAGACGACTAACCTAAGATCGTTGTAGGTCGTCAAACACATTTGACTAAAATATCCAGTGGTCAGGACAATTCGTTATAACTGTAAGTTCGATATAACAGTCAGTTCGATATAACCGTCAGTTCGTTATAACCGTAAGTTCGATATAACAGTCAGTTCGACATAACCGTCAGTTCGACATAACCGTCAGTTCGTTATAACTGTCAAGTCGTTATAACCGTCAGTTCGTTATAACTGTCAGTTCGATTTAACCGTCAGTTTGATATAACCGTCAGTTCGATATAACCGTCAGTTCGATATAACTGTCAGTTCGTTATAACCGTCAGTTCGTTATAACTGTCAGTTTCGGTATAACGGTCAGTTCAATAGATAAAAAGGTTCTGACCTGTAGCGTTCCCTTCGGACAGTACTCTCCCACTAGTACCTTGCTGGGAGCATCCAAACACGCCCCACACAGTCGGGCCAAGTTGGCATGGTTGATATCCCGAATCTGACAACATAAAGCATAACATATATGTAGATGGGCAATATTATTTTGTTTGTTTTATTATGTGTATGTTTTATTATGTTTGTTCTATTATTTTTGTTGATCACCGTCACATTGTCCTTATTCTCCACCAAGAACCTCCACCCACCTCTCACAATCAACCTCCATCACTCTCCAACATCAACCTCCATCACACTCCACCATCAACCTCCACCCTCACCAACCTCTCACAATCAACCTCCATCACAATCCACCATCAACCCCCACCCTCACCCACCACCCGCCTCTCACAATCAACCTCCATCACACTCCATCATCAACCTCCACCCACTCCCCACCTCTCACAATCAACCTCCATCACACTCCATCACACTCCACCATCAACCTCCACCCTCACCCACCACCTACTTCTCACAATTAACCTCCATCACACTCCATCATCAACCTCCACCCTCACCCACCTCTCACAATCAACCTCCATCACGCTCCACCATCAACCTCCACCCTCACCCATCTCTCACAATCAACCTCCATCACACTCCATCATCAACCTTCAACCTCACCCATCTCTCACAATCAACCTCCATCACGTTCAACCATCAATCTCCACCCTCACCCACCACCCACCTCTCACAATCAACCTAAATCACACTCCATCATCAACTACCACCCAAACCCACCACTCACAATCAACCTCCATCACACTCTATCACACTGCACTCTTACCCACCACCCACCTCTCACAATCAACCTCCATCACACTCCATCATCAACCTCCACCCTCACCCACCACCCACCTCTCACAATCAACCTCCATAACACTCCATCATCAACCTCCACCCTCACCCACCACCCACCTCTCACAATCAACCTTCATCACACTCCATCATCAACTCCACCCCTCACCCACCACCCACCTCACACATCACCTCCATCACACTCCACCATCAACCTCCACCCTCACCCACCACCCACCTCTCACACCAACCTCCATCACACTCCATCATCAGCCTCCACCCACCTCACCTGCCTCTCGCAATCAACCTCCATCACACCTCCTGCCATCATCAACCTCCAACCTCACCCACCTTCTCACACCCAACCTCCATCCAGCTCTCCACCATCAACCTACATCCATCCCTCACCCAATTCTCTCACAATCAACCTCCATCACACTCCATCATCCAACCTCCACCTCACCTACCACCTCACAATCAACCTCATCACACTTTCTCATCATCAACTTCAACTCACCTATGTCTCTCTCCACAATCAACCTCCATCACGCTCAACCATCAACCTCCACCTCACCCACCACTCTAATTCCTCACACCAACTCCCATCACACTTCATCATCAACTCCACCACCCTCAGCCACCACCTTCCTCTCACAATCAACCTCCATCACACTTCACCATCAACCTCCACCCTCCCCACCCCTCACCTGTTCCTCACAATCAACCTCCATCACACTTCATCATCAACCTTTCAACCCTCACCCATGTTCCTTACAATCAACCTCCTCCATCACGCTCAACCATCAACTCCTCCACCCTCACCCACCACTCACCTTCTCACACCAACCTCTAATCACACTCCATCATCAACCTCCACCTCACCCAACTTCTCACAATCAACCTCCATCACTTCCACCATCAACAACCTCCACCTCACCCACCACCCACCTCTCTCTCTCACAATCAACCTCCATCACACTCCATCATCAACTCCTCCACCCTCACCTACTCTCTCACAAATCAACTCTCCCCATCACGCCTCAATTATCAACCTCTCAACTCACCCACCACCTTATCTTCACACCAACCTCCATCACACTCCATCATCAACCTCCACCCTCACCCACCCTCACAATCAACCTCTCCATCACACCTCACCACCGTCAACCACCCACCTCACCCACCACCCCACCTCTCTCACAATCAGCCCCCATCTGCCACTCCACCTCATCAACCTCCACATCCTCACCCACCACCCACCTTCACAATCAACCTCCCCATCACACTCCATCATATCAACCTCCACCTCTCACCCACCTTCACACCAACCTCCTCCATCACTCTCCACCATCAACCTCCACCCTCACCCACCACCCACCTCTCACAATCAACCTCCACTCACACTTTCATCATCAACCTCCACACTCACCCACCACCAAACTTCTCACACAATCAACCTCCATCACACTCATCATCAAACTCCACCCTCACCCACCTCTCTCACAATCAAACTCCATCACTCTCCATCATCAACCCTCCACCCCTCACCCACCACCCACCTCTCACAATCAACCTCCATCACACCCACCATCAACCTCCACCCTCACCCACCACACCCACCTCTCTCTCACACCAACCTCCATCACCTCCTCCACCATCAACCCTCCACCCTCACCCACCACCCACCTCTCACACCAACCTCCATCACACTCCATCATCAACCTCCCACCTCCCTCACCCACCTCTCACACCAACCTCCATCACACCTCTCATCATCAACTTCCACCTCTCACCCACCTCACAATCAACCTCCATCAGACTCACCATCAAACCCTCCACCCTCACCACCTCACAATCAACCTCCATCACACTCCATCATCAACCTACAACCTCACCCAACGCTCACAATCAACCTCCATCACGCTCAACCATCAACCTCCACCCTCACCCACCACCCACCTCTCACAATCAACCTCCATCACACTCCATCATCAACCTCCACCCTCACCCACCTCTCACAATCAACCTCCATCACGCTTCATCATCAACCTTTCAACTCTCACCCATGTCTCACACCCCAATCCCACCAACCATCAACCCCCACCCTCACCACCACCCACCTTCATAATCAACCCACCACCACTTCACTTAACTCTCCATCTCACTCCACCACCCTCAATCAACTCCATCACACTCCATCATCAATCACCTCACCCACCACCTACAATCAACCTCCATCCACTCCATCATCAACTCCCCACCTACCCACCACCCTATAATCAACCTCCATCACATTCCATCATCAATCCCACTCAATTCCACCACCCTCAATCAACCTCCATCACATTCCATTAACCCCACCACTCCACCCACCCACCTTAATCAATCCCATCATACTTATCATCAACTCAACCCACGACACCTAATCAACCTCTTATCATTGCCTAACCATCAACCTTCCACCTCACCTAATTCCACTTCACCTTCAATCAACCCCATCACACTCCATCATCAACCTAACCTACCCACCTTCACCAACTTACTTCCACCATTAACCCCACTCACCTACTCAATTCCACTTTAATCAACTTCACACATTAACTTCACTCCACGATCCTTACTAATCAACTTCCATCTCCATCATCAACTTCCACCTCACCACTTTAATCAACTTCCATCTTCATCATTAACCCCACTTCACCACTTCATAATCAATCCATCTTCATCATTAATCCTTCCACTTCAATTTTAATCAACTTCATTAACTTCCACTCAATTCCACTTTCAATCAATCCTTCCACCATGTTCCACCAATCCTTCCACTTCACTTCCACTCCACCTAATTTCATAATCAATCCTTCCATTAATCCCTTCCACTTCACTCCATCTTCATCAATCCTTCCATCTTCATCATTAACCACTTCACTCCACTTCACCAACTTCATCACATTCCACCATTAACCTTCCACTCAATTTCCATCACCTTCACTAATTAACTTCATCACACAACCCCACTTCACCTAATTTCACACCAATCCCCATCACGACCTTCATCATTAACTTCCACTCACCCACTTCAATCAATCCCATCATCTATTTCATTAACTTCCACCTCACCTACCTTCCACTTCAATCAACTTCCACGACTTCCATCCATTAACCTTCCACTCCACCTATCCACTCCACTTCACCAATCCCTTCCATTCCATCATCAATCCCTTCCACTTCACTCCACTTCACTAATCAACTTCCATCTTCATCATTAACTTCCACTTACTTCCACTTCAATCAACTTCCATTAACCTTCCACCTTCACGACCACGACCTTTAATCAATCCATTCCATTAACTTCCACTTCACTCCACCTTCCACTTCATTAATCAACTTCCATTAACTTTAACTTCCACGAACCCTTTAATCAACTCGACACGCTTTAACCATCAACTTCCACTCCAATTCCACTCCACCTAATCAACCTTCCACTTCCATCATTAAACCTAACCCCACGATCTTCAATCAACCTTCATCACGCTCAACCATCAACCTCCACCTCACCCACCACCCTCCTTCACACCAACCTCCATCACACCTATCATCAACCTCCACCTCACCCACCTTCACTAACCAACCTCCATCACCATCTTCATCATCAACTTCCACTCAACGCACCTTCATAATCAACTTCCCATCACACCACCAGCCCCACCTCACTCCACCACCCACCTTCAATCAACCTCCATCACACCATCAACCTCCACCTCACCACCACCCACCTTCAATCAACCTCCCATCACACTCCATCATTAACCTCCACCTTCACTCCATCTTCACTAACTAACCTCCATCACGACATCATCCCCACTCACGACTTCAATCAATCCTTCCATCATTAACCTAACCTTCAATGACCTTTAATCAATCCTTTCATCACGCTTCTAACCAACCTTCCACTTCACTTCCACTCACTCCACTTCAATCAACTTCCATCATACTTCCATCATTTAACCTCCACCTTCACCACCTTCATTAATCAATCCTCCATCTTATCATTAACCTTCCACCTTTCACCACCTTCACCAATCCTCCATCATTCCATCATTAACCTTCCACCTTCACCTACTCCACCTAATTTCACCAATCCACTTCCACCATCAACTTCCACTTCACCTACTCCATTCCACTTCATAATCATCCTTCCATCACACTTTCATTAACTTTAACCCTTAATTTTAATCCACACCAATCCCTTCCATCACGCTTCTAACCATCAACTTCCACTTCCACCACGACTTCACCAACTTCCCATCATCTCCCATCAACTTCCACTTCACCTACTCACTTTACTTCACCACCCCATTACATTCCATTAATCCCTCCACCCCTACCTATCTTCATCATCCTTCATCACGTTTCATCCATTAACCTTCACTTCACTTCACCACTCCACTTCACCAACTTCCATCTTTCATCATTAATCCTTCCACCTTCACTTCCACTCCACTTCACACCAACCTTCATTAATCCCCACTTCCTTCCATCTTCACCATCCTTCCATCACATTCCACCACGTTTAATTTCACCACTCGTCCTTCCTTCTTTCAATCAACTTCCATCACATCTCCACCATTAACCTTCCACCTCACTCCACTCACTCCACCTTCATAATCAACCTCCACTTCATCAACCTTCACCACTCCACTCCACCACAATCAACCTCCATCACATTCCATCAGAACCTCCACCTCACTCCACCTTCACAATCAACCTCCACTTCCACCATCGCCCCAACCTCACCTTCAATCAACCTCCCCACCACCTCCACCATCGCCTAACCTCACCCACCACCTCACACCTGCTTCCATCTTCCGACCTTCTGTTCCCATTAAGCGAACCGTACACCTCCAGCCGCCGTCCTCTGCCCACCGACCCTTTCTGATGCCGTACCCGGATCAGCACGAACATAAAACCCACCAGCGAACATCACCCTTCCACCACGAAATTTAACAAAAATATGCCCGGAACCGCCAGCATCCCCGCAGCCCACCGCCAGCATCCGCGCAGCCCGCGCAAAACCGCCAGCAATCCCCATGCCCAGCATCCCTGCCCAAAACTGCAGCATCCCTGCCCGCAGCATCCCAGCCCCAGGAACTGCATCCTGTATAAGCCGAGGAGGCAGTTTGCACCATGATGGGCCCCAGCCGAGGTAGCTTGTAATTTGGATGTTGGGCATCCCTTATATGTCGAGGGGAGAGGGTAGCCTAGTGGTGGAATCCTCATGATGTTGGGGCATCCCTTATATGTCGAGGGAGGAGAGGGGTAGCCTAGTGGTGGAATCAGCGATGTTGGGCATCCCTTATATGTCGAGGGGTGGGGCTGGGGTAGCCCAGTGGTGGAATCACATGATGTTGGGCATCCCTTATATGTCGAGGGGAGGAGGGGTAGCTCTAGTGGTGGAATCATGATGTTGAGCATCCCTTATATGTGGAGGTGGAGGGGTAGCCTAGTGGTGGAATCAAGGATGTTGGGCATCCCTTATATGTCGAGGGGAGCAGGGGTGAGCCTAGTGGGTGGAATCACATGCTTGGCATGGTATATCGGGGTGGAGGGGTAGCCTGCAGTGGTAAATTATGATGCTGGGCATCCCTCATATGTCGAGGGGAGGAGGTAGACTAGTGGTGGAATCATGATTGTTGGGCATCCCTATATGTCAGAGGGGTGGAGGGGTAGCCTTAGTGTGGAATCATGATGTTGGGCATCCCTATATGTCGGGGGTGGAGGGTAGCCTAGTGGTGGAATTAAGGATGTTGGGCATCCCTTATATGTCGAGGGGAGGAGGGGTAGCCTTAGTGGTGGAATCATGATGTTGGGCATCCCTTATATGTCGAGGGGAGGAGGGTAGCGTAGTGGGTGGGAATCATGATGTTGTGCATCCCTGCAGGTGGGGGTTGGGGTAGCCTAGTGGTGGAATCATGATGTTGGGCATCCCTTATATGTCGAGGGAGGAGGGGTAGCCTAGTGGTGGAATCATGATGTTGAGCATCCCCTTATATGTCGAGGTGTGGGAGGGGTAGCCTAGTGGTGGAATCATGATGTTGGGCAATCCCTTATATGTCGAGGGAGGAGGGGTATTCTAGTGGTGGAATCATGATGTTGGGCATCCCTTGTATGTCGGGGGAGGAGGGGTAGCCTAGTGGTACTATGATGTTGGGCATCCCTATATGTCGAGGGGAGAGGGTATCTAGTGGTGAATCATGATGTTGGGCATCCCTTATATGTCGAGGGGTGGAGGGTAGCCTAGTGGTGGAATCATGATGTTGGGCATCCCTTTATATGTCGAGGGGAGGAGGGGTTTGAGGTGGTGGAATCATGATGTTAGCATCCCTATATGTACCGAGGTGTGGAGGGGTAGCCTAGTGTTGGAATCATGACGTTAGCATCCCTTATATGTCGAGGGGAGGAGGGTAGCCTAGTGGTTACAGTGTTCTCTCTTCACGATGAAAATCTGGGTTCGGTTCTCACATGGGTACAATGTGAAGCTCATTTCTGGTGTCCCCATCCGTGATGCCGGAATATTGCTTAAGCGGCGTAAACCCCACCATTAACTCCCTAACCCGTGAAGATCCGGGTGAATAGTTCAGCAACCCATGCTTGCCACAAAAGGCCACTATGCTGTTTGTAAGAGGCGACTAACGGACGAAACGGTCAGCCTCGCTGATTTGGTTGATTACGATGACATCGGTTCTCACTGCGCACTTGATGCTTATGCTGTTGACCACCTCGATTATTTACAGACCGGCCATATAGCTGGAATGTTGCCGATGCGTGGCGTAAAACTAAACTCACCACCACTAACTCCCAGTCGACCGTCAAAGAAGGTTTTGCCCAATGCTTATAATTAGCTGCAATGTCGAGGGATTGCTCGCGTGACCTTTTCGGTGTTATTTATAAAGTCACGTGACTACTTCCACTTACCATTTTGAACTCTTGGAGCAGTTGCTTGTTATTCTGCAGGATGTCTTTGATGTGTGTAGGCGTTTCAGCCGTACGGGAATTCTGCAAATCAGTTAATGGATGTGCATCAATGTTGAAAACTTTACTGTTTAGCGGCCCTGCCTCTTAAATGCCCGCTTCGAGACATCTTCTCGTGGAAATGTTGTTCCTATTTCGCTCCTTGTTCGACTAACTAGGTACTTTCACGTTGTCACAACGTTGTCACAACATTATGCTTTCGTTGTTACAACTTTCTGTGGGACTTCATTTATGTTGTCACAACGTTGTGGCATGACGTTGCGATGCATCATTTGTACGTCGCCACAAGGCTAAGTTATTAGATACTAACGTCTGTTTTGTTGTCTAACGTTCTGCTTAACGTTAATAGTTGAATAGTTTTCCCAGTAGTGAACAGTACATAAGAAACAAAGCAGACATTCACTTCAATGTTGGCGCTGTCAATTTGCATGTTGCTTCCGTCGCGTTCTCTGAAGCTGTAGCTGAATAGTGTTGTTAAATCTTGAACAGTGAAAGGACACCAAGTTATAAGAAACGTTGTTATATGTTATAAATATCAAAGCTTAACGCTTCCTCAACGTACATTTGTACCCTTTGTTATTGCGTTGTGACGTAACGTTATAAAATGACGTGATACTTACGTTGTGTCATGACGTTACCAATTCACAAACTTTCACAACGTTGTGTCATGACGCTACAAATCTACAACCTTCCCACAACGTTTTCTGATGACGTTACCAATCTACAACCTTCCCACAACCGTTCCATGAAGTTACTAATCTTAAACCTTTCATAACCCTGTGCCATGAGTTACCAATCTACAACCTGCCCCATCATTGCGTCATGGCGTTACTAATCTAAAACCTTTCGACAACGTTTTGGCATTATCGCTACCACCTATTATCGCCCCCACAACGTTGTGTCGCCGCCTCAATATACAAACTTCCCACAACGTTGTGTCATGACGTCACCAATATACAACCTTCCCACAATGTTGTGTCATGACGTCACCAATATACAAACTTCCCAATAACGTTATGTCATGACGTCACCAATATACAACCTTCCCACAACGTTGTGTCATGACGTCACCACTATTAGTCTTCCCACAACGTTGTGTCATGATCGTCACCAATATACAACCTTCCCATTAACGTGCTATCATGATCGTCACCAATATACAAACTTCCCACAACGTTGTGTCATGATCACCAATATACAACCTTCACAACGTTGCGTCATGACGTCACCAATCTACAACCTTCCCCAATAACGCCAGGTCATGACGTCACCAATATACAACCTTTGCCACAACGTTGTGTCATGACGTCACCAATATACAACCTTCTACAACATTATGCGTCATGACGTCACCAATATACAGCCTTCCCAATAAACGTAGTGTGTTGCCTGCGTTCACATATCGACATCACCTTATGTTCACATCCTGTATTGATTTCGTCATGTGTTGACGTTCGCCTTCCCTGATGCTCATCTGCGTAAACATCAAGAAATATTACAAATATTGTCAACTTTGTTGTCCAGTACAGAGAACCATGACATGTGTTTGAAACAAATGCACTTTACGACTCAACAATGCCCGTGGAACTGACTGATCGAGTTTATTTTTACGCAGCTTTAAAACTCATAACGCTATGTGACACCAGAAATGGCTTTCATTAATATCAAAAATCTTACGTTTGGAATCAAACCCGGGTCTCTCAATAATGATGAAGATCGACGCTTTAACCACCAGGCTACCCCAACTGCCGCCAAACAGAGGAACCAACATTTGATGAGTGCGTTTTAGCAATATTCCCAGCACACGCGGATGCCCAAACTGATTGCATGTTAAGAATCGAAACCCGGTCTCCAGCGTGACAAACAGTTAATACCTTGGTTGGGATCTTTAGATTTGTTTCTTTAGAAGGAGAATGTTTTCACAGCTAGTGGATGGGCAGCCTGATGTTACAAGCGTCCGCTCGTCACGCTGAAAACCCGGTTCAATTCCGCACATGTAAGTACAGTGTGTATAGTACGCCATTTGGTGTCTTCACCCCTTTGAAGATCCGGGTTAGAATGTTGATCTTCAGTAACCCATGCTTCATCGTAAGAAGCCGACTAACGGAATCGGGTGAAGCTCGCTGACTTGTCACATGTCATCAGTTCCCAATTGCGCGCTGTTCGATGCTCATGTTGTTGATCACCAGATTGTCTGGTCCCGACCGATTATTTACGGACCGCCGCCATATATCTGGAATATTGCTGAGTGTGGCGTAAACTAAACTCTCTCTCACTCACTCTTGGTGTCCCTCGCCGTCATACTGCTGGAATGTTGTTAAAAGCGGGTATACCTCATTCACTACTCACACACTCACTTGATTTCTTCATTTGGCTTTTTTATGGAACTCCGACATGTAAATCGCTCTTTTCAACAGTTTCGTTTTCACAAAATGCTCTCACCAAACCGGTAAACGTCAGAGACAGGCCTAACTGGTGGCTTCCCTCTCCCACATTCAGCTAAAGGCCATGGTGTAACTGAATGCTGTAAAGAGCGGGTACTAAAGCCAACCGTCCATTCACTCACTCACCACCCACAACGTCCCACCTCCACTTGCCTCCCTTCCACTCACGCACTCACTCCCTCCCACTCACTCACCTCACCCCTTATACTCACTCTCACTCACCCCTCCACTCACTCACTCACTCTCCTATTCACTCACCTCCCACTCCACTCACTCAACCTCCCACTTCACTCACCCTCCCATTCACTCACTCCCATTCACTCACCCTC